ATAATGTCAGTGGATGGGAATCACGGCTTTGAGAGTCATAAAACATACACAAACAAAACCAAATTAAACCCTGCGGCTCGTGATGATACACTGATTTGAAAAGACACAAAACGATCAGTCTGTGCAAGAAACTGAATAGTATTTCTATATATTTTTTACCTCTGATTTTCACCGCAATGTCTGAACTGCCCTGAGCATGTTCGCATCTTCTTCAGCCGGCACGTGAGGCGTCTTCTTCTTCTTCTTCTTGCTTTACGGCGGATCGCAGACTTATAAGTGCATTACGCCACCTCTCTCTCAAATGGACCAATTGAGATTGTAGATAGTGTCAATGGTCCATTTGAGAGATAGGTAGCAGTAATGCACTTATAAGTCTGTGAAGAAGACGACGCCTCACGCGCAGTCTGAAGAAGAAAACGTGAATGCGCTCAGGACAGTTCAGACATTGCGGTGAAAATCAGAGGTAAAAAACGATATAAATACTGTTCAGTTTCTTGCACAGACCGATCGTTTTGTGACTTTTTACATCAGTGTATCATCACGAGCTGCAGGGTTTAATGTGGTTTTGTTTGTGTATGTTTTTTTGACTCTCAAAGCCGTGATTCCCATCCACTGACATTATAGGACTGACAGACTGCAACGGTTTGACTTAAAAATCTCTGTGTTCTACTGAAGAAACAAAGTCACCTACATCTTGGAAGCCCTGGGGGTAAGCAGATAAACATCAAATTTAAATTTTTGGATGAACTATCCCTTTAACATGAAGTCAACATGAGATCAAATCTATTGACTTCCTTAGGGTGTGTTTCTGGACTTATTTATTTATTGGTGCATGTTATTCCAAACAAATAAGTCTTCATAATTTTTTATAAAAAAAAAAATTACCCTGACCAGTTTGCACTAATCAATTCCCAGTGGATTAAATCAAATCCCTTCACTCCAAACATTTTTCTTCCTAAATATCTTGTTTCACTCTGAAATGCATCACATTTTGGAAGTAAACTGGGTAGAACAAATTATTTCAACAACTTCTGAGCTATAAAATCATCTTTTTTCACAGAGCAAGACCTAACATTGTTGGAAAATATCTTAAGTAAAACACTTTTAAAAGTAAGCATTTTTCCCCTTATTTATTTATTTAGTTTTGCCGTAGGAAGTTACAGTGAGATCAGTATAATAGAAGACACAGATTGAAATATTCCTGCTAATTGAAAACCTGGTGAGGATACCATGAGGTGAAAAAAAAACATGTCAGAAATACCCGTGAGATTCTGTCCAACGTAAAGCAGATTCACTTAGCCACTGCTAAATCATGTCAAAAATAAAGGCCCTGGTGCACTGGATTGCCATTCATTGTATGTGGAAGCAAAAGTTAGCAGGGCTACATGGGAATATTTTGATAATCCCTTACCTGAAACCTGTAGGTAACTAAAAAAGGCTACATTAACCAAAACTAAAGACCGGGAGAAAAACATAGGAGGGAAAGAACGAACATAAAGAAGCAGGAAAGTAGAAACGCAAAGAATAATCACTGATGTTCAGCATTCACTTATGATGAACAGAATGTAAAAGAAATGATGCCAGATAGTAACAAATCCAAGAAAAGTTTATTATGAATATGGCACCTGTAAGATGGTAAAAAAACTGTTACAGAAAGACAACCATGTATGACATGTTGCTTTAACTGATGAAAACCTACAAAAGTATAAAATAACCCTGTTGTAAAATGAAGTATGTACATTTTTGAATTGCAGCATTATTCATGGTAAATGAACAAAAAATGTGTTTCCAAAAAAATAAGCCAGGCACTCAAAGTTAGCTTCAGTTAGTTGTTTTTTGTCTTTTTTTTCTCTGAAAACAAAAAAACTAAATAAAAATGTACCATAGTTTTCTCTTTTTAATATTTTAATTTGCTTGTACTTAGAATTTATAACACTGTTAACACTGATACTAAGAGAATCCCCTTTCTCCCATATTCTTCTACATGGCACCAAGTTCCTCATAAAAGAATCTGTATAATTGTACAAGAAATAGTTAAAAACACAGACACAGTCTTCACAGGTAATGAAGTGATTTCTCATATTGTAATTTTAAACACTATTTATCTGACAGCAGCTGAGATTAGTTTAAGATTAAATCACCAGCAATCATTTTGACACAACACAGATACATTGAGACAGCTCGCCCGGCTGTTCTGTTAGTAACATATGGGTGTATTTCCTGGTCCACAGTGTCTGTTTTGGGAGCTGCCCCCAAACCTCGTCCCGACCGCTTCTGCTCTACGTACAAAATGCTAAAATCTAGGATCCTGTTAACCTGCAGCGGTGACGCCAAGCTCTCCTGCAACCGTTCCGACAGCGAGTCCCGTTATTGTCATTTTTAAAAACATTAATATCATGACCTGGGTTTGAGTAACAACACGTTTTCACAGAAACCACAGACACAAGTTTCCTGATGTCGGGGGGGAGCCTGATTCAGGTAAAAAGACGAAGGCCCCCCCCCTTCCCTTTGCTGGACAGACTAAAAAACACTAAACATCGACAAAGCCGCTGGACTGAACAAAATCAAGTAAACCAAACCAAACAATCAACTTAGTAAACATGCATTTCCAAAACACCTATAAAAATAGATTTTATAGTGAGAAATATTTTTTTCATCTCTTTAGAAATCTTTAAAATTGTTTATTGTCCTGAAATGCTACCGTCATCTTTTTTTTTCCTGTGAGTTGCAGGGTCCTTGAAGTCAACAGGCTTGGTGGAAACCAATGAAATACACCCAATGCACAAGACAAGCACAAGGGACTCTGGGAATGTTTCACATCTGAGGCTTTTAAGGTTCCAGTCTACTAAATGCTACTTCCGTTTTTTTTATTCCTCATCACATTTGAGCTGGAAACTGCAATCCCAGAATTCCTCAGTGGCAAAAAATGGCTCCTTAAACCTTTGAGCTAGTTTAGAGTCTTTTATCTCTGAGAAGAGAGAGAGGTCTGTAGACTACACGACAGCAAAGCAATAGCAGAAACAGAAAAAAGTAATACATACAAAAAGGAAGCAGCAAAAAAGGTGACACTACATTGGAAGGCCACCACACAAAATCCACTAACCTCCACTGGTTCACTAAGACTGCAAGGGGGCCGGAAGGAGAACAAATGTTTCCCCGTCCAAGCCCGGACTAGCACAGAGAGGACAAAGGACAAAACAGCTACATTAGCTCAGTATATACTGCATATAGTAACACACACTTAAGTTGCTATGGAGACTGACAGCCAATGACACTTACACATTGTACAAGTTTACGGTTATCACACAGTGTAATAGATGACTTGATGGACGGCTGCCAAATGATGAAGTGACAGTATTCTTCCGTTTTATTACTTTAGTGTTTTTTTTTTTAAACATCAAATCACAGTGTTTTAACACCAAACTGTGAGAGTAAAGTTTTTTTTGGCAACAGTGGATAAAAATTAGGAATGTGGATTTTCAAAACACCTTTTTTGATTGAAAATGCATGTCCTTATTACAATCTCCATTTGATATGTGATTTTCAGAGAGAGTTAAGGGGTAAGGGATGAAGGGGGACTGATTTCGGAAAGGACACCAGGCTCGTAAGCTAAAGAGGGAGTGTAAACAATCAAACCAAAAATTTATTTAAAAAAAATTAATCCCCAAAACAATTAAGCATAGCGCTGACCAAAGCCTGTTTGGAGTTTAACATTCATCTTCAAGTTTATGATGTAAAATTAGCCTCAGTTGCAAAAAAACGTTTCTGTATCCCTTTCCAGACTCAATCAGATTGAGTTAAATATTCTCCTGTGTTCACGGGTAGGTGATGAACATAATAAACAAAAAACAAACTGAAAAAAAATAATAATCTGTTAGAAGTTTGACTTTTCTGTGGAAAAGCTCTGAAGCCGCAATTTGTTTGGAGTTCCGGAACAGTACCTACATCAGCCAGCTGAGTGAGGGTAACTCAATGATAGCACCATGGATCTGCAAACAGAAGATGGAACTGGAAAAATCTCACACTGACCTGTTCCATGTCCTGGGATTTTATAGTAACATTCTATTCACAGGTCAATACCCGGCTAAATTGCTTTTTTAAAATGCATGATTTGCAAGTTAAGTTGAGCTATAAAAAAAACGAAGAAAAAGCATTATTTCTAAAATACTATTCCCCCTTTAGAAAGAACCGCAAAACCCTTTGAACTACATCAAATAGGGTAACATCCTTTTGTCAGCATCAATCTTGATTACACCAAGATAACTTTAGAAACATAAACAGTTTCTTTTCTTGTCAATTTTCTTTTTCTAATACCTTTAAGACATCCTAATGAGGATGTTATATACTCTGGACAAATATCACACCACAGAGAAAACATACGCTACAGTGCTATGAATTCCCTGTGGCTCAGAAGGAACTCTTTACAATAGAGATTAGTCTGTTTAGAGAAACCGTCATCAAGAATTTGTGTAAGGAGGCGAGAAAGAAGAAAGAGAAAGTCGAAGAGATAGAAAGACGCAGGAAGAGAAACCATTCATTTCAGTTACACAAGCTCAATTGCTCAAAATTCAAAGTGCTAGAACATCTCACTTTTCCCCAACACAGTCTTTTGCCTCAGAAGTCTTTTTAACACAGTTGAACACAGTAATATGGTCTCGATGTTTTGCTTTAATCCTCCTTGCGCTCCAGAGTCTGTGTGTTGTGGATGCCGTTGCTGTAGACGGGAAACGGAAGCGTGGAGAAAAGTCCCTCTGCTGTGGTGAAGACATTGGCAGCTGGCATCTGAGTGAGCCCGGCTCCACTGACCGCACCCCCAAAGGGGGTGGACATGTTGAGCCTGTGCACATGATGGTACAGCATCTCCATGGGTGTCTTGGGGTCTATGCCAAAGCCGGGCCCATCCATGAAGTTCACAGCAGTGTGAGCATTAGGCAGGATGTTGCCCTGCATGGCCAGACTGACGTCTGCTGGGGCGTATCGGATCGTTCCAGTGGTGTAGACTCGTGGGGAAGTCGTGCTGGTGGCAGCAAGCGTGCCTGTGACTCTGTGCACCAATGGAAGTACCACATTCCCCGCTTGTAACCGCTGCAGGGCTTCCAGATCACTGGTGTAGAGCAGGGAACCGGAGGAGGTGGGTGTACCCTGCTGCTTGTCCCGTGGCGATGCCGAGAGAGGTGGGGAGAGCGGGTCAGCGGTGGTGGAACTGGAAGGAGGAACCAAGCTGCCCGGAGTTGCGCTGCACACAGAGGTGGGGGCACTGTTATTGTTGCCGCTGCTACTGTTGCCACTGAAGTTGAGCTTTCTGCTGCCTCCACCACCCTCGGCACCAGGTGGAGTGAGGACAGAGTCGGGGATAGACACCTGCAGGCCGGCAGGCGGGGGAGAAGGGAAGGTGTTGTGAGGTTTTGTCATGCTGTAGGGAGACTCGTTGCGGGAGATCTCTCGGTTGGGTGGGTAGTTCCAGATGCTGCTGTCGTTGTCGAAGTTTATAGGTTCTGACATCTCCGTCTTGATCTTCAGCACAGAGGAACTGGTTGGGGAGGGTGGAAGCAGGAGGGGAGGCTGGTCTCCAAGGGTGGGGTCCAGGCTACCAGGGCTGGGGGTAGCAGCGGCCGAGGGAGACAGACGGAGACGTCGACTTCCATCCCATTTCTGCTTTTTTCTCCTCTTCTTTCTCTTCTGGTGTTTACTCATTGCTGGTCCGCTCAGCTCCCCTCCACTGTTGCAGTCCTTCACAATATCTTCCACCTCATCCTCTTCTTCTTCTGAGGAGCAAGAGGAGGGCGAGTCCTGTAGTTTCTCCACCTCACCATCACCGTAACGCTCCACCTTTATGTGTAAACCACCTAGGTGGCCCTCCTTGTGGTCGGTTTCACAGTCAGAAGGTTCCAGACTATCATCACTGTCCTGACTTTCTGGATTGCTGGAACTGTCTCCTTCCTCCTGTCGTCTCATCTCTTGCTCTGGCGGCTGGCCCGTCTGTTTCTTACTGTCCGACTCTGGATCTTCACTGTTCTCGGAAGACTGATTCCCCTTTCCATCTGACTTGGAGTTTTCATTGTCTTCTGGGAGAAAGAAAAAGGTTTAGTGGACAAGTTTCCAAACACATCCCAATGTCATAGTTTATTTAACAAAGCAAGGTTATTCGCACAAGAAACAGTTCACTAAACATTGTCAGGGGTTTTATGTTAAGGCTATTAATTTAAAGTTTGGTTGCCTTCTATATGGATTTATATTACACGTCTTATGTACATGACACAATTACACTGGGGACATAAACTGTTTTTTGATGTTGTATTTTTGGCAACCGCATTAGCCACCAGTGACTTATTCATTATGTGATGTATCGTTGATCATTAGTTTTGTCATGAACTAGTCAAATTCTGTTCAGAACAAGTGTTGTTGGTAGCTGGGTTCTTAAGAACAAGACGAGCTCAATCTATGTATCAGAAATCATTAATACATCAAAATTCTTTCTTTTTAAAATATATGAATTTAGAACTGAGGGGGAAAAACAAAACTGTGAGGCAAATATATCTCACAGGGATTTGGAAATTCTGGCCTTAGGAAAAACATGTCTGCATTGGAAGAGAAACACAGGGAGAGAGAGAAAGAGACAGAAGGAGAAGGCGGGGATAGGTGTAGAAATAGGTAGGGAGTGTGAGAGGAGAAGAGGGCATGGTTTAGTCCAGTTGCAGCTGGCACAGTCTGTAACCTTTGTGATGAAGACTGGAAAAAGGCTCGGCAGGCAGAGATGCCCAGGGGCCAATATGTTGGCACTTTCCCCAGACTGTCAACTGGCCTTGTTCACTCACAGCCTCCACCATCTCTGGAATCTCACTTCATCTTTTTTTGGAATGTATAATTAATATCTCCAACTGGCTGAGGAGTTTTAATTGGCTATTTACACCAGTTTTAGGGACATATCGAAAGCACCACATTTCCTTGTCCTACATAATTTACAGTAATTATTGAAATGAAGATAATTTACACAGTAAGAGCCCTCAGATGAGACATTTGCATTTGATTAAAAGAAAACTTTCAAGTATGTTGTGTACAGTGTTACTTTACAATACTACTGGTTTGTAAATAATCTAAAATGTAGAATCTAGTATCACCAGAAACGGTTCCATGAACAGGGATAACAAACTTGGAGCAAGAAGAACTGGTTTTAAGTGTCCTGCTCAAGGGCATAGTAATGATTAAACTAACAACCTTCCACGTATTCTGTACTGTTTTGGGGCATATTGCAATGAAATGGGACTAGGAGTGATACTCTACCAGAGTTCTTGGAGTCGGATTCAGAATCAGATGTTTCTGAGGACTCTGATGCTTTCTCTGGCAGGTTAGGCAGCTGTGCGATATCCATGGGTATATCTTTGTACTCTGGATTACTGACAATTTAAAAAGAAACCACAAAAAAGACACGTTTAGAAGGTACAAGTCATTCACTTTGCCAGCTGAGAATCATTCACAGCCGTGTGAAAGATCCTTTACACTCTTCTCTAGAATGTTCCAGACATCCTGATTGATTCACTGCGGCCCAAACCAAAGAGCATTCTAATAATCTCTAAGCCCAAACACAGACCCAAAAGCAGCAAGAAATCACACTGCAGTTTGACAAAATCTGTGTGCTTGGCCTTCGTCATCTTACAGAGGAACCGACTATTATTAACTCTCTCAGATACTTTAATCTTGTCACAGTGCCAGAAGGAAAGAAACAAAAAGATGGCAATTTCATCAAAGTAAAAGACTCATATACCTGAGTACATAGTTGACCCAGATTATGTTTTTTTCGTTGGCATTCTTGGTGTTGATTGCAATAGTGGCACTGGACTGGATCCAGATATAACCTCCATTCTTCTGAATCCAGCGGTAATACTTTGTCACACACTGACCTTTATTCAGCACTATAAAAAGAGGATAGAATACAAGAAAGGAAATGGTGGAAGAGAAAAAGGAGATAAAGTGAACAATGTGATAAATTTTAATTTAAATATACCCAGGTTTAATTACAACAATAACAAATAATAATAATAACCATAATATTTGCATTCAGTAAAGCACAAACCTATCCATAATTTCATTTGAAAGAGATACTCTATTACCAGTTTGAACACTCTTAATCTCAAAGGCCCAGCAGAGGGCGCTGTGACTATTTGCTAAGGGCTCTGTAATCGTGTCCTTGTCTGAGGCTACTCATGTGAAGACACTGTGGCAGTTGCCATAATTTTGGCTAAATTAAGCGCTAAATGGCGATCTCAAATAATATGAATTTGCATTAATCATTGTTCTGCAAAACAGAAACAGTCGGAATCCAAGCATGGTATTAAATTCAGATTCTGGGTTTAATTACAGCTACAAATAGCGCTTTCCGTAAAAAGAGTCCATTGAGAAAGATGATTTATATAAGAATAAGTCTAGTAATTAAAATCATTACAGACTAATAGCATTGTTTAAGAAGCCGTCCCAAAGGCTCCGATAATTGACTTTAGTTCACCGACTGCTTTCTGTACCAATAAATGTGTTTTAAGCGCTAACTCCAGAAAATTGAGACAAAAAGCCAAGAGTTGTTTATCTGACTTGTTCGCTGTGGCCAGTGGGCATACCCTTGACTCACCTTCACTCTCTTCAACAAAGTTTACATGCTACTGAGGGTCTATGGAGAGGTTCAATATACATGGACTGCATCTAAGCAAAAGTGCTAGAAAAAACATTGTTCACATCTGAAATGACAGAACTGAAGATAAAAGAAAGAACTGCTATGGAGAATATTCCAAAAATATATAAGACGAGAGGAAAATGTTTTAACATATGCCTTTGAAATGGTTTAAAATCTCACAGTGATAGACCGATAAATAGATATCCTACACCATTTTCATTGTACACAGCTAAGTTGCAAATGATTTGGCAATACAAAATGCAGAGCTATTTGTTGTGCCAATAAAGCACATTAAATTGAAACCAAATCAAAGTATTGTACAGCTTCAGTATATTAAATCTTGTCATACATACAGAGCGATTCTTTCCCTCTATCTGTGAACATGCGAGTCTGAGCGGTCCCTTTAAATCCTCATTACTGTCTACAAGTTCTAGGACATTTTTCCCTCTGCCTTTAAACCTGATGAGCTGATCTCATCTGCATTGCATTTGAAGTGCTGGCCCCCTCGGCTCCGCCCGGCACCACGTCTGTACAGGTGAGGCTTATTCTTTAACCCCCTTTCAGTTACGCTGCCATTAAATCAATCAGAGGCTGCTTGAGTTATTGATTTAGTGGTAATGAAGCCACCCCTTTCTCTCTCTCTCTCTTTCTGTATCCTTCTTTTTATTTTCCGGTGCAGGAGTCGTTGGCTGCTTTTGGAGGCTTTAAAAGGAATACGGCCTCTTTAATCTACCTGCCTTCTCCTGGAGCCTCGGGCAAGCCTGCAGGATGGTCTCTCACTCTCTCTGTCTCTCTCCCTCTTCTCCGTTCTTTTTCATTCTATCTCTCTCGCTCTCTCTGCACCAGGGCCTCTGTCCTTCAGTTCTGTTAAATCACTTGGATCCCTTCCATAATAGCAGCTACCTTTCAGATACCCTTTACCCAGCGTGGCCTCACTTCCAGCAGGAGGGGTGGAGGTGTCACTGTCATATAAAAGCAAGTAATTTACACCCGTGAAATTGCTTTATGGAAAAGTCCTTGCAGTCCACTGGGGTATTATTGTAAAGACAAGCCTTTTATGAATGAGAGAGCAGACATGCAGATCTGCGGCACCCGGGCAGGGTTTGGCTGGACAAGTGAATTGGAGGTTTTTAACTTCTATTCTTTGGATCTAATGGGCAAAACTTCACCAGCAGAGTAAACGCATTGGCTATTTAGAGATGCCGCGAGAAGTGAAATTACACCTACGTTCATTGTTTTCAAAGCATCATTACAGTTGCAAGGTGTTTTGGAATAACTGCAAGTAAGGATACAATCATCTGCTGGTTATAAAGATGTCTTTGTGTTGTAAAATCCAGATAAAACCAGTTTCTAGCTGGTCAAAGCTGGCTGTTTATGGCCATATGCTAATCCAAACTGCTTGAGATAGTTGTTTAGCTGATCTAAAAGCTGTTGGGGCTGAAGTAAAACTAGTTAGAGCTGGTTGGCTACACTGGTGCAAACAGCTAAAAACTAATTAAAATGACATTAAAAACAACAAAAATTCATTCCAATGAATCTCTGCTGACATAAATGCAGCATATCCGTGGATACAGACTAACAGAAACATCTATTTTATATTTACTATGAATCCATTATGGAAGAAACCTGAAGAAACACTGTCAACGGTACATGCGATGGGTGTTAGAGCAGGTGTATTTTTCCGCAGCTGTGGAGTCTATCTTCAAGCACAATAAGGAGTGAAGGGAGTTTTTCATTAAAGTCAGTTTGAACTACTCTTCAGAGACCGGCTCTTGTAGTCTGCCTTCAGGCACAGAGCTTCAGTCTCCTGGGGTTTCTCCACACTTCTGTGAGCCATCGTTTCCCACCTCTGTCTCTCTCTCGCTCTCTTTCTCAGCTGGTAAAAGCACATGCACACACACACACCCGCGGAGCATTTATGCGGTGAGTATTATACATAGTGGTGTAACAGTGTCTTTTATTAATTTAAACCGTGTTGGTCCTGTTCGGAAGCTGACACAGGTGAGGTCAGAGCTGTCACAATGCATTTCTGCCCGTATAAAACACCTGCTCTCAAATGCTTCGTGAGCACCAACAGTTGACTTTCTAATTTTCCTTCGGTAAACCAGAGCTGTTTTTTTTACAGTTACAAAGCTCAAATTAAACTGTTAAACATAGAGATGAGAAGGACAGTTCATTTTTTTGTATTTCCTAAACGTAGTTGAAGAAATAAGCCACAAGAGACAGTGCAGTATAGAGATTTTACTGTAGTTAAAAACCAATGTCTTACTGTTTTTATTGAAAAGGCAGCAACAGCAATATGAATTAAATTAACATTTATGATCAGTTAACAATTCTTCTGGCTATCAGCATTTTTCAACCACTTTAAAGACCAGAATCTAGTCTGAACTACCCATTTTATAAAAGACCATAAACTACCCTTTAAGCAACCCTGGGTCAAGGTGCTCAATTTAAACAGATCGGCTTTAAATGCTTTATCGAGCCCTTGAACACTTGAGCAGTGGCCTATGAACTCAGCAGCATGCATCTGTAATATATCACACATTGCAACTCATAAAGAACACTACATGCACTCAAGCCGAAGCAACGTCTTCTCCACGCACACATCACTGCATCTGCAGCAAAGAGATTTGATCAGACTGACATCATCCCTCTTATCCCAGGCTCTAACCAATCTGATGGCCCTGTGTGATCTGATATCAGAGTCTGATTAGCAATCAGCGGGAGATCGGTGTGACTGCTACTTAGTCACGAGTGACATGTTCATGCAGACACCTGAAGATCTGGCTTTGATAGAAGCCGAGATGACACACGTCATTATAATGCATTTAGCTGTGCTAGGATTTCTTTAACCAAAGTAACAAAGTATCAAGTAGTACACTCTAAAAAATTCTGGGTTGTTTCAACCCAATGTTCGGTCAAATATGGACTAACCCAACTGTTGGGTTAAAAAGTTAATTTAAAAATTTAACCAAAATTTAACCCAACAGTTGGGTTAGTCCATATTTGACCCAACATTGGGTTGAAACAACTCAGCATTTTTTAGAGTGTAGTGTGACAGCAGCAATAATTAGCAAACATTAAACACTTTCTTAAACTATGCTCTCTCCTATTTGAAGGAGTTTACTGAACCAATTCAACCTATTTATATGCATTTTCTAGTTTTATTAGTTATTGTTGTAGTATCTGGTGTTAATTTATGATCAAATTGAGAATACATTCTTGCTCTAGATTAAATTGCTCTTATCGTGCAAAAAAAAAAAACAATAATCTCTCATTTTTTTTATTTAAAATGAAAAGGGCATTTACATGCACAACAAAGATGCCAACTATCAAAATATGCTTTTCCTAAAAAAAAAAAAAAGTTTATATTAAATGGGTCCTATTATGCTTTTTCACCTTTTCAACTTTAGTTAGTCTGTAATGTTGCTGTTTGAGCATAAAAAAAGATCTGCAAAGTTACAAAGCTCAAAGTCCACTTCAATAGGAGATATTTTATTTAACATAAATCACTTTTCAAAAACTACAACGAACGACTCGTTTGGACTACAATGCATATTTTCCGGGATTTGTGATATCACAAATATCGACGAATGGGATGAGACCTGGTTGAGCTGCACTAGAGAAGGCAACGAGTGTTATCACTATGTAGGAGTCACGCTAGCTTTCCCAAGGCAGACGAACTTAGAGTGGTTACAATCATCCGGCTTTAAATCGCGCTCAAATTGATTTGATTTTGACGCAGTATTTACACTGAAGCTCACAGGCGTCTATGGTAAGGGGCGTGACATTTCCCGACCAGGCGCCGAGTGCTGCCAATCACAACACACACTGGCTCAGCTAACCAATCACATCACACACTGGCCCAGCTAACCAATCACCACACACACTGGCCCAGCTAACCAATCACAACACACACTGGCTCAGCTAACCAATCACATCACACACTGGCCCAGCTAACCAATCACCACACACACTGGCCCAGCTAACCAATCACAACACACACTGGCTCAGCTAACCAATCACATCACACACTGGCCCAGCTAACCAATCACCACACACACTGGCCCAGCTAACCAATCACAACACATTTTGTATTTCAGAAGGCGGGCCTTCATTTGATACAGGAACTATTCGAGCCGTTCATGCCAGACTGGGGAGAGAGGTGTTGTAATAATGTAAAATATGTGAAAAATAATGTGTTTTTCGAACAACCTAGTTTAACAGTAGGGATGGGCGATATCTTATCGTTTGCGATATACCGGTAAAAATTCTTCCCACGATAATAATGATAACATCTAGTTGTTGACATATTTCTGTGTGCGACAGTGTGGAGCGACATTGCGGAAGGCGGATGTGAAATTGAGGAGGAGTAGCCTATATCGCTAAATGAGGAGCTCGAGCTCCTTTTACAATCTGTAACTGGTTTGGTTAGGGCTGTACAGTGCACAAAAATCTGTCTTAATACATGTACTACAGTAGCACGTGTGCGATACAGTTTTGCATGAGTATGAGCCTGTTTACAAACCTGTTGTCCAACAAAGATATCATTTATTGACATGCTTTTTCTCCAAATTAACTTAATAACATAGTCGAGTGTTTGAAATATTTCCTTTTGTGACCAAACGTGGTTTCATATTACAGAATGATAGTACTATATACAGTAAAGGCCATGTTGATTAACATTGCAATATAAATATACTTTACTTATAAAAATACCCTAGACTGAAGAACACAGATAAACAATTATTTTCATCAGTATAAAAATTTTAGTTTCATCAGTTAAAATTTCTCTATTTCCGTTGTGCGTTTTATTCAGCGATAACTGGATACCTTCCTGGAGCGTTGTCAGTAGTATTTCTTCTGCTATGGATATGTGGAGTTTCTGTGCAAAAGCGCCCTCCGGCTTCCAGTATGAATTAAACAGTCTTTACATTACGTGTGTACTCATTAATGTTCACAACACCCTATTTTGGGTAAAATAGGAAAGATAATACTTTTCTCTAAAGAAACAGGATTCCCTGAATTATCGTCATTGATATCGTTATCGCAATAAATACCAGAAATATTGTGATATATTTTAAAGCCCATATCGCCCATCCCTACTTAACAGTTATTAAAAAGCATTGCTTAACTGTAGTTCAACTTCTTTGAATTATTATTACAGCTTTAGCAGCAACATTTCCAAACATTGTTTCAACCAGCTAACCGCATTTTATCAGATTGAGTATGAATGAACAAAGTAAAATGCAGGAACAGAAACCCTATCCACTCTCTACTGTAATGACATGGCCAGCCATTTGCAGTGCGGCTAGATTTATGTTGATTGCCGCTACGCTAATGCGTAATAGATGGTTAGAAAGCCAGGGGTAGCTGGGGATGTGCAGTTCTCTCTTTGTGTCTATCCCTCTCTCTCCTTTCACACATCTCTTTCTCTCTCTCTGCTATCAGTGCAATCCAGGGCTTCAGTCCTGTCTCCTCTGCCTCCGCTGGGTTTCAAATCAAGGTCTAATGGACCCAATCTGGTGGCTTTTTAAGGCGAAGGGACAGTGCAATACAGTGGTAATTGCGCTCTAATTCAGTTGAACTCCCAATATCTAATCAGACAGCTCCAAATTCCCTCGCCAGCCCCAAGGACACCCGCCCTCCTCTGCAAACACCTAATAAAACGAGGGATTTATCCCCCTCCTCCTCCTCCTCTTCCTGTGCCTCAACCCTCACTACTTAAATAATGGCAACCTGCCTGCTGTAGAGCAGCACACACATCTACTGTATGAAACGCTACGCCGCTCTCAATGACGTTTTGAATTTCTGCCATCGTGGTGGAGGGGAGCGGGAAAGGTGTGCTGCCAAAACACACTTAACAGATGATTTAGGATATTCAAAAAGCATGAACGTTCCTCCAGACGGTCAGTGGCCCTCCTGCCGAGCACGATGAAAGCAGAGCGTGCAAAAGGTTGAGGAACCTTCAAAGGGCTCTGCAGTGGCGGATTGGCCCAGATGAATACTACATGATATAAAAATGCACTCGAAATGTGGCGCCCGTACATTGAGAGGAGCAACTTAACCTGAAAAGAGGAGTGAAATGTGTAAGACTGTCAAACGAACAGAGATTCTGTGCCTCGCTAGCGATACAGGTCTTGTTTGGAGGATGTGCACTTGCCTAGCCGTCTGGCAGAGGGAAGTGGTTCTTCATGGACAGTTATGAGAAGAAGCGCTAGCATGGATAATCTTGCCTGTCACACTGCTGTCCCATTACACTGAAGTGCTGCAGCGAACACATTACGCCAGCTTTGGCACGTAACACAGTGTGCTCTCAGGATGTCATTGACCAATGATCAATGAGTCCCGCTAAAGCATGTAAGGACACCGAATCTTGCTCTTTTAACAACCATCCTGTAGTTTTTGGCACTGTTGGGTGGCTGCACAGATTGATTGGATGGATTTCGGAGTAGATACTCACAGTCTAAATGGCTTTGCCGAATGCCTTCCACGTCCTCTGCGTGAATGAAGTGATAACATCTCTTCCCTACGATGTCGACAGGTGTCAGGTCCATGTAGTCACTGATTCTAGAAAGAATTATTTCAACACAAAATCAAAATTGACACCATTTTTTCTTTTTGCACTATTTTAAAACTATTTTTGTAGTTCAGTTGAATCTTCACTCAAATCAAGATTCAGTTTCCTGCACTTTTCTGATCCAATGAAGCTACACTAAAATAATTCAGTGTAGGATTTACTTTGAAACATTTTCACAGAAATTGCTGGTAAATGTTACAAATAATTACAAAGAAATGGCAAGTAACACAGAATTACACATGAACGTTTGAAGTAGAAAGACTGGAATTGTTGCCTCTTGTACAACATATTCCAATTATTGTTTTATTTACAAAAAACTTAAGAAAATATATACATTTCATAGTGTAATGGCTACATCAATAAGGAAAGCTGAGCAGCCCACCAAAAAGAAACCAATCAGATCTTACTGTGGGTTATTATCTCTTCCCAGTCAATGACCGATTAAAATAGGGCAAAGACCTGATTGGTTTCTAGTCAACGTCACTGATAAAGAGATTCTGATTTCCCAGCCCTTCTGTAAGCTAAATATATATTGTATCAGATTTTATTCATTAAAAAGGTTTCCATCTGTGATGGCAAGCTGTCAGCCTGTTTTCATTATAGACGCAATATTTTCTGACCTACTGTAGCTCTACCAACTGCTTGCTGAATCTAAAAGCAATTCTCACAGAAGTATTGAAAATTTGATAAAAACAGGTGGTTAAAACTATACAAAATGCCTTTAAGTTGGGCAAATACTATTAGTGGCGCATTTCCAGACATTATTCGACTCTAACCGATCTCTATCCACCTTCATTTTAAAGCTGGCTTTTGCTGTGATGATAACTCCGCTATAGACTTGGCCCGATTCCATTCTCTCATAAATATGTTAAGTGCAGGGGAGTGGTAAAAATTTTAGCAGACACTGGGATGACTTCAATCCCAGAGATATAAATAAAACTAATATGATATTTCCTTTCAAGCCAGGCCAAATTAAGATGTTCTCATTTTATGGGGCAGCAGTGGAACCACAGATGTTTTGTAAGTACAAAAGAGAGTTTTTTTCTTGGCCAAGAAACAAGGTCATTCTGGGATTGCGTTTAAGCAGAACTCATCACTATCAGCTCTATAATGAACTGCACATGAACATTAGTGTGTGGCTGATTATCCGCTCTTGCAAAACACATTTTCACCCCCTGATCCTTCAGTTCTACAATAATGTCGTAGTTTAACTCTAAGCAGCTGAAATTGAAATTATTTTTCACCGTTTATCATTCTTTAGGGCAGATACAAAATCTCTCAAATCAAACTGCACACAATACTAGGCTTATACTAAATAGTGCATATAAGTTCTGCAAAATAAGATTGTGCAAACACGTAGTGAAATTGTTGCCCTCTTAGAGATTAACATTCATAAATCATTGACTATCTTTATTTATGTTTAAAGTCAACATGACATTACATCACAAAGGCCGGTTAAAACTGTACCGAATATATTATATAAAGAGTGTTACCTGTTTTCACAGTAAACAATGTTGAGATCCATGTTGACCCGTGTAACAAACATCTGGCAGTCAATCCGAACCTCATTGATGGTTGGCGGAGGAAGTGCGTGTGCCACCACAACCATGCCCATGATTTGATTGGGTACCGAACGACTGTGTGTTAATGCCATTCTTATCCGCAGCCTGCCGGTAATGTGGATAACCTTGAAGAGGACACAAAGCGGAAAATTAAAAACTGATCAGATGCAATTGTGTCCTGAATTACATGCACACCCTTTATTAAAGTATCCAACCACAGTTTCAGGATAACAGAAAATAAACCAGATGAAGTCATATAAGATTGTCAAGTGAACTCTTTGATAATCCAATATGACCTTTGTGCTCTACTGTACACTTGACCAAGATTCTCAGGTTCTTGTACCCGTCATGTACATGTTCATGAAATATAAAAAAACACAAAAAGTGCCATTTCCCTCTGAAATAATCGAGAGATAACAAAGGCAGAGGAACTAATTACTTTTTCGCTGGCTTTAAAGTTTGTAATGCTTTAAAGTCTTTTGTAGCCCGTTTTGCCCAGAGGATGCATTGACTAGATCGGCAACAATGTTCTTTTTTGGATCCATCCATTTTAATCACCCAGGGAAACCTGGAGGGGATTGGTTTTGTAGTGTTTTAAACTTCTGACACTATCCTTTCATTGGTTCACCTCAGAGATCGGTGAGATGCTATTAGCATCATTCATATAGACAGTCACGGCCCCGAAGTCACCGAGTGCTCAGGCCGGTGGGGCTCTTTGATGCTTTGTACGTTTCCACTGAGGGACAAGCAAATCCAACCCCCAGGAAAGACGGACTGCCACAGTCACTAAAAAAGAGTGACTCTCCTGGTGTAGAGTTGAGAGTTGGTTCAAACTTTCACAGAATTCAAAAGCCATCTCAAACCAGGGGCCAATTAAGGACAACTGGAAAGTTCAATGATGTCTCATTCAGTGAGGAAATCCTAATTTTTCAAGCAAAGTTTAGTTTGGGCTTAAATTTTATATTTTTATTTGAACAAAAACATTTTGTCAGATTGACAAAAAAAAAAGATATTTTTCTGGAATGAGTATGCTTGGTTTTTTTCTATAAACCTATCTAGAATTAGCAGTTGAGTAGCTGACAAATGATATACCTTAAATATTTCAGATTTTAATTTAAATTGCGTTCCGGGCCCTTGGAATCATCCTAACCTTCCCCCCCATTACAGCACCCCTGGTTATCGTGACGCGAGCGAGCATCAGACAGGCGAACCAGGCAGTCACGAACGCACTTGATACAGCTGTTGCCAAGCTTCAGTAAGACATCACAGCACGCTGCGATCAGAAGGTGATGTCCAATTATGTCCGCTATCAAACCCATACACACATTCTCATAAACAGAGCAGCACACCAGAGAGCGGTAGCCCACACAAAACACACGCTGCATCCAGAACATGCATCCATACGTATAACACTGGGTCTTTCAATAAATAAACACTGAGCTGCTTTAAAAGCATATAAAATGGAAATGAGCCCAAAGCGAGGGGCATCAAAAAAAAGCCCAAAGCGAGGGGCATCAAAAAGTTAGTTGGAAAATACAACTTTTGAAGTAATTGCCACAAAGAGAGACTCGCCGGTGAATTGCTGCAGGAGTGCTCTTGGCAAGAACATCATAAGCTCTGGCAAAACATTAAATATGCTCAGGCTGCTAAATGCAAACTGACATGGCAAGGGTTCACCGTGGCCGCAGCCGCATAGCATATCTCAATTTAATACAAGCCAACATAACAAAGGGATCAATTTTTATAATTCATGGTTCAGCACACAATGCTCTCTCTCTCTCTCTCTCTCTCTCTCCGCCCGTCACCACGTCGGTGAATATAGAATAGGTATACATAAGAAATAAGATTCATCTGTTCCTAGGGATTCTCTGGAGTGCTTTTGAAATGCGATATGGCACAAGTAATGATAGAGAGCTTTTACATGAGTGCATTAACTGAGCCGGGGCCGAGATGCCTTGGCAAAAAAAGAAAAGACTGGTTTAAGCTGGAGAAGAATTCACTTTGATTTGACCTCCAGAGTGAAGAGGAGATATAAACAGCCATGATGTGAGCTGTGCTTCGTTTCCCTCCACCTCGCACCTATCACCAAATGCCAGCGCAACGTATGCAAAATTCATACTTTTGTATTATGTAACAACACAAATATTGACTTAATTTGGAGTAAATGCAATAAGAAGTGTCCTTGTCTGGCCGGTAATATATGTGAATGTGCATGCGTGAATATTTATGCTATGGGTTAGTGCGCTCCCATACTTCATGCTTATTTGCATCAAATCTACGTCCAGATGGATGCAGCAGCGGGGTTTGGATCTCAGTCGTTCACTCAAAGACACATCCAAACAATCATCCACTTCTCTGTTTACAATCCGATTGATATTAAAATGTACAGCATTCAGTGATCTGCTGTATTGTCTATGGTTGGACGAAGTGCAAAAAGTTCATAGTACACAAATATAAATGATGCCAGAATGCATTGCTGTTCAAAGTTTGAGGTTTGTAATGTTTTTGAAATATCAAGTCACTTATGCTCACCAAAGCAGCATTTAACTGATTACAAATACAGTAAAATCAGTCATTTTGTAAAATATTATTACAATTTAAAATAACTGTTTTCTATTTGAATGTGTTTTAAAATGCCATTTAATCCTTTGATGCAAAGCAGAATTTTCAGCATCATTACTCCAGTCTTCAGTGTCACATGATCCTTCAGAAATCATTCTAATATGCTGATTTGCTGCTCAAGATTAATTTCTTATAATTTTTAATGTTGAAGGCAGCTATGCTGCTTAATATTTTTGTGGAATCTGTGATGCATTTTTTTTCCAGGATTTTGTTGATGAATAGAATTTTATTTTAATTGAAAATTTTAATTGATTTGAAATTCTAATTTTCTGTAAAATTATAAATGTCTTTATTGTCACTTTTGTTCAGTTAAATGCATCCTTGTTGAATTAAGTCATTAAATTAAATCTTACTGACAATTTAAATTAATCTCACACACAATATGACACAAGACTGAAGTGAGTTTTCATTTCTTTTAGAACAGGACAACAATCATCCGGTTCAGTCTTACCTTGTATCCAGAGGACTTGATGTGGACGCCTCTCTTGGTGAGCGTGGACTTCATACGGACAAAGAAGGAACGTTCTAGAATGTTATCCGGCGACAGAAGACTAGGGCTGTTCGACTCCACTGCAGAAACAAACAAACAAACAAACATCCTATTACAACACTAAAACAATACATAACTTACAGAGACTGCAAGATATCAGACTGCTTTAGTGAGTATGATGTGTAATATCTTCTCATTGAGTTTCTATCATCTCTTGGTAGACAGTTAATGAAACAGCACAGCCTGATAAGGGGGAAGGTGCTAATCAAACTTTGACAATGTTTTAATTGTATTTACTAATAGCATGAAGCGGAGCCTCGGCAAACATGATAATTGCTTTAAACTCTACATGGCAAATGAATAAACCTCACCAGGCTGATGTTGGATGTATTTGCCTCCATAGGAAATGGGAAAATTAAGCAGAGCGTAATTTATCAAACTTGGTTTAGTAAGAACACCACATTACTTTTGCTTCAGAAAACATTAAAATCTAATTACAATATATAATTTTCAATGACAGCCAACAAAATAACTTATTTCTCATTCTATAATACATCTCTTACCAGATGGGGGGGAAGAAAGAGTTCCAGCCTTGATCTTAACACAAGGACACCTGACGAACAAAGGAGGTTCTGCTAATTTGCCGTAACACGCTTGATTAGAGCCAAATTAATTGCACATTTTAACTTGTCTTGACATTCAACATGTTACAAACAGGCACCAGAGGAGCTTTAGCGTATGAACAGGACAGATTGAGAGTCAAAACTGTTAACAAAACATTTGTCGATCTAAACGCTGACTGTGCGAATGTAGTGTATCTTTATTAGGGAGCAAATTGTTGGTTGTGCTGGAAATTATGACATAATTATAGTCAAACTTTGTGTTAAAATCATAATTTTCTTAACATTTTTACACAATAAATATTGAAATAGTGCATATCTACTTCACTACAATCATAGTAGAACATTTTATTAATATGATGACATTTTCATAGTTTAAGATTGAAAGTCTGGGTCTTGGACATGAGTCAAATCTATATATAATCTATATGTGACCCTGGACCACAAAACCAGTCTTAAGTCGCTGGGGTATATTTGTAGCAATAGCCAAAAAAAATAAAAAACATTGTATGGGTCAAAATTATCGATTTTTCTTTTATGCCAAAAATCATTAGGATATTAAGTAAAGATCATGTTCCATGAAGATATTTTGTAAATTTCCTACCGTAAATATATCAAAACTTAATTTTTGATTAGTAATATGCATTGTTAAGAACTTAATTTGGACAACTTTAAAGGCGATTTTCTCAATATTTTGATTTTTTTGCACTCTCAGATTCCAGATTTTCAAATAGTTGTATCTCAGCCAAATATTCTATCCTAACAATGACCATACGTCAATGGAAAGCTTATTTATTCAGCTTTCAGATGATGAAGATACAAAGAAAATGGACCCTTAAGACTGGTTTTGTAGTCCAGGGTCACATATTTGAAAACTGACAAAAATAAATGAAGGCACAAAAAAAAAAAATCTAGGAAAATTAAGTGAACGTCACATAACAAGAAGAAAAAAAAATCAGTTTTAATACTGGGATATAAAAGTATAGTTGAATAGACACTGTCATATAGTTGTGGGTTTGGACTGCTGTATTTTCCCATTTCTCTCTTTCTCTAGGCCTTTTTTCTCCTCCCTTTCTTTCTGAGAACATGAATTAAATGTCATTTAAAATCTAACTAGTCCTTTATCACTCCGGGGAAAAGGCAGAGCCATGTTATATTTAGTCATTTCATTTCTTCTGATTAAATATGAATTACTATGACATTTTTCTCATCATCTAACACACAAGAATATGCCAACAGCTTTTTAATACACTATATAAGCACAAACTTCAGCTCTAAGAGTTTAATTCGCCTCTCTAATCCAATCACATCAACCTTATTTCTCTTATCAGAGATTCCCATTTTGAATTAAATGAGCTCATTAGTTTTAATCAAAGGCAGAGAGATCAAAACTTGCACTTAAATGCTTTAGATCAGAGCTGTCAGTCAAGCGTAGAGTTCTATTTGACTAAAACACAAGATCAGAGGCCGTTGCAACTCGCCGTTTTCATTAAGAATGAGATGAGCTTAAAGATACGCTGTCCTTTTTTGACACGTGTGGCACTCGGACCGAGAGAGGTCGTTTACCACGTGCCCTCCGCGACCTCGCTTTGTGTCAATGACAAGAATATAAATTATACAATAAAACTTTTGCGACACACGCGCGCTCCTGCCTGAACAATAAGTTGAATTTCAGGATTTCCCTCATGCTACCGAACAATAACAAAGAATGGGAATCCTGCCTGCTTTGCTTTTCCCGGAGATGAATAAATGATCGCTACACAAGTACAATAAGACAGAAATCCAAGAATACGGTCAAACGTGTAAAAGTTAGTAGGGTAGTAGATCACAGCACTATGCATATCAACTTTACAACTGAAATCACATTTTCATGAAAAACATGATTGTTAAATATTTGTCATGAAACATATTGCCATTAGAACCAATGAACCTCAAGATTTAAAACTGATTTTTGTTTAAAAATAACCCAGTGATCACGCATTGCTTACGTCTGTGAATGAGTGCATAATTTGTTAAGTGTGATGTTTTATTCTAAACAGCTGATAAACATTTTTTAACCCCTTAACTGTCACCGTCCCACCTGTGGGACGTTTGGCGCTCTTTTGTTGTTGTTGTCTTTTTTCTCTATCAAATCTTTTAGTAATCATCATAAATCTTATATCATTTGAAAGCTTAGAAGCCCAAGATTCATCCTGTGAAAACCATTTCGAAATCAGACATTGCGTTACCATGGAAATGGTACTTTAAAATCTTTTGGCGGTCTCCTCCCCCTTAGTGGGCAGTGTCAAGTGTCATATTACAAAATGAATTGCGCTCTTTTAGAATCAAACCTTTTTATAATCTTGACAAAAAACATATCATTGGAAAGGTCTGAGTCTCAGGATACCATATTTGGTAATATTGACAGAGAAATCTAGACATTTGTGACAGAAAAATGCATTAACAAAAAATTCAATGGAGTTTGGATGGCACCCGGTGGCTGTTTGTGGTGTGACGCCCTAAATAAAATCTCACAGGAATTTTTTTCATATCAACCTCAAATTTGGAACATAACTTATTTAGACATAAGGCTATAATTTTATACCAATTTTAGAGTAAAACCTGATATGTAAAATATTTATTATATATAAAATAAAATAAAATTAATATAGTGCATTTTCTTTACAGTAAATTTAAACTACTATAACTTTTCGATACTTAAATATTTTGAAAAAATGCTGATTTTCTTCTTTAAAAAGAGACCAAGCTTATGTCTGTATTCCAAAGTGTTCATAAATTACAACAATTTAAGTTTGAATAGTGCACCTGCATGCCTATTTTAAAAAGTTAAGGGGTTAAGGGAGAAACATCAGAAAAATATTTTATGTTCTTTCCATATCTTGAATGTTGTTTTATGTAAGAAAAATTATCCCAATTTTTTTTTAATCTTCAGCATAAATGTATACATCAAATACAAATTTTGAAACATTATTCCCAGTGGCATAGTGTCCGATACATTGTCTAGCAGTGTAAAATGACATTCTTCCCATCATCTAACATAAAAATATGCACTATATAAGCACAAACTTCAGCACTAAGAGTTTAATTCATATCAACCTTATTTCTTTTAACAGAGATTCCTATTTTGAATGAAAAGAAAATGTGCATTTAATGTTGCTGTAATATCTATGTACAAGAACAAGAAAAATGCAAATCTTTTTCTTAAAGATTTTGACGATACTGTTTCTGCAAAACGTGATTTTCAGCAGCAGCATAGTGTCTGATACATTATCTAGCAGTGTAATGTAATGTATATACATTTACTGTATGTCGCCTCTCCGCTACATTAAAAAGTCTGTGAACGCAGCGTGTGCAAAGAAGATGTGCTGTATTTATTCATGTCAAAAAACCTGTTGTTTTGTACACATATATGAGCTTCCAGCACTTCCATGTCTGCAGTCCAGCAGAAAGCCCTGCGGCGGGCAGATCTGCTAAATCATCAATATCAGCCAATCCATGAGATTAAGGGAATCTGCTGCGTGTGTCGAGAGAGTCTTATGTGTTCGACTTAAACCTACATCCCCACAATGCACCTGTATTCCAGCAGCAGCAGCAGCACAACACTCCACATGCTTCATCTTTTGTTTTTGTGTTGTGTATATGAACTCCCTTGCAATCCAAGTGAGACAATAACACAGAACACCATTCAAATCGAGAAAATTCCTCAGACATCCTCTTCGTGGAAGAGAGTAGTTTTGTGGAGTTTAAAAATAAAACCATCTATGATGCACGCTTTAAAATCGGCTCCTCGTATAAAACTGACAATATCAGACATGACTTTTTAAAAGGAAAATATTATTTATGTGGGACGGAGGTGAATTTATGATCTGGAAGACCTTGAGATTAATTTTCTTGATGAAATCTTTGAGAATGAATGTGTCTGGGAGTAAATGATGAGATTTTAAAAGTATTACACTCCTTGCTGAGAGTGTTGACCATCAGTAAGCACCTCACGGTCCAGAGCCTACAAGTACACGACACGCTCAGCGTATGACTTATAGGCCTGTAGGAAAGCTTGAGCTGATATTGCTCAATTTACATTTATGTAAATATTAGTACCAATTCAGGACATCAGGCGTTTACTGTACAAATAAATCAAGATTAAGCATGCAGGCTGCCGATCTATCAAGCTTTAGCACCATTTCAAGACTGGTGTGTGGAACAGAGTCATCCTGGTCCGAGTCTGACAGATGAAGGCTTTGCTCTGGATGTTAGTAATGCTGTATAATTCAAACAGCTCTGTACTAATTGGGACACTTGCTCCGATTATATGGTGATGAGTACAGGAGAAATCCTTTCTGAATTCAAGTCATGTGTGTTAACAGTTTGAATAATTATGACACAAAGTAAATATTGATATATTTGATTAACTGTGATTAAATTGACTAATTAATTAGTAAATCATGTAATTCATTAAAGGG